CACTGAGTCATCTAGGCTGTCTAGCTGTCCCCCATTTCCACTCCACCCCTGGCTTTTTATGTAGGAACTAGGGATCAAACTCAGGTTCTTAGTTTGAGTGGCAGATATTTTACTAAACATGCTGGTTTGCATTGAATTCATGATACCCTTGTTGTCTTTGACCATGATGCATCCCTTCAAAATATTGCTAAAATATTTTAAAATATTGTTTAAAATATCCCTTTTAAAATATTGTTAGATGGGCTGGAGAGATGGCTCAGCAGTTAAGAGCACTGTCTGCTCTTCCTGAGGTCCTGAGTTCAAACCCCAGCAACCACATGGTAGCTCACAACCATGTGCAATGGAATCCGGTGTCCTCTTCTGGTGTGTAGACATACATGCAGGCCAAAACACTGCAAACATAATAATTTCCCAATAACTCATTATAATTCTTATTTCAGGAAAGATTGGCTTGTATTCTTTGTCAGTTTTTGGTATGTTTTTATTTGCTTGATATTTGCTTGTTTGTTTGTTTATTTTTGATGTAGGGTCTCTCTATGTAGTCCTGACTGTCCTGGAACTCTCTGTGTAGATGGCTAGCCTCAAACTCACAGATATATCTGCCTGTCTCTGCCAGGATTAAAAATCTGTACCACCATGCCCTGTGATATCTTTGTTTTTTGAATCTCAGAAATATTTCAAGTGTTCTGTCTTCATTATATATTTGTAAGATTATTTTTTTTGTACTTACTGGAAGAATTCAGATATCCCTTTGTGGGAAGAATTTTCATTGTAAATTTATAATTTTCATAGAATTTATTCATTCAAGTTATTTGTTCACTTAGGGCTTTTTAAAAATGATGGAGCATTGGTGTTTTGTATGTCTTCATGGGGGTGTCAGATCCCCTGGAAGAGGAGTTATGTAGTTGTGAACTCTCATGTAGATGCTAGGAATTAAACCCAAGTCTTCTGGAAGAACAGTCAGTGTTCTTAACCACTGAGCAATCTCTCCGCTCCTGCTTGTTTTCTTTTAAATTAATATTTTTATTAATCCTTGGAGAATTTTATACAATATATTTTAATCATAATTACCCCCTTTCCTAACTCTTCCTAGATCCCCCACCTTCTAATCATCCAGTTGGTGCTTCATTGTCTTTCTCTTCCCTCCCCACAACACAGTGAGTCCAGTTTATGTTGACCAAATAAACATTCTTGGGTGTGAGGCTTTCCTTGGAAAGTGGTCGACTTACCAGGGGTCACACCTAAAAGAACATGGACTCTCCTTGGAGCAACTATCACATGCTAATGCCTCCCCAGCTAGGGATGGAACTTATGCTCCATTTGTGATGGAATTTTGATCTGGCTTCAACTTGTGTAGGTTTTTTTTCATGCTTTCATAGTCTCTGTGAGTTCTTATGCCAAAAGGAAATGTCTTTCCTATAAACACTGTTTCCTTGTAGTTATTCACAGCCTTTGGCTCTTAGAATTGTTCTGTTCCTCTTCCTTGATAACCTTGGAGCCTTGGAAGAAAGGGTATGATAAGATGGCCAGTGTAAGGCTGAACACTCTGCAATTGCTTATTCTCTACACTTGACTGGTTTTGATTTAAAACAGAATCTCACACTGTTACACAGACTAGCCAGGAATTCTCTGTTTTGTCAAGGAATAATTCAAAGATCAAGACAATTTTCATGTCCCAGACACCAAATTTTGAAATTACAGGCTCTTAATTGTTATATATAGCTTCAGTTTTATATTTGTTTTCTTAATTCCCTTAAGTACTGCTTTGCCAAGAATTTTATATTCTATCTAAAATTTCAACTTCATTGGTATAAACCAGGCTTTCAATGTATTTATAGTTGCATGTCTTTTCTAATGGTCTGTATTCATCCCGGGTGTCTTATTTCTCTCTTCAGTCTTGATACTCCTAGTTTCTCTTGCCTCGTTTTCTTTTGATTTCCTTCCTCGGAGGTATGCAAATTTTACTATTTATTCTTATAAAAGAAATTACTTACCCCCCCCCAGCCTTTAAATTGTGGTAGACATATAGACTTAGATGACTGATTTTCAGCCTTTTCTAATACAAATATTTAAGTGTGTAGACTTTATCCTAAATATAGTCCTGTTTTCAACTTCAGAAACAATATTTCACTCTATCTTTGAATTCAAAACATTTGGTGCTTCCTTTTGACAAGTGAGTTATTTGAAATACGTTGGTTGATATCCAAACAATGGAAGACTAAGTTTCATTTTAATAGCAGTAGTTCTCAGGTATTTGTTGACTCTTGCCAAGTTTGCTGTTTTCTGTGCTGCTTGCAATTACTATGCCCAGTTGTACATAGAAGTGCCACACTTGCCCTTTGCCTGTTCCTAACCTTTCCTTCTTCACTCTGCCTGGTTCACACGTCCGGTCTTATTAGTCTCTAGTTTCAACTTGTGTTGTTTTTGTTTTTGTATGTCTGAGCAAATACTTTGATGTTTCCTTTTTCTTCTATACAGAGTATCCCCCAGCCATCATTTGTATTTTGATTTTGAACTTAACAATATGTCCTGGAAGTTATTAGTCCAGGGATTGTGGTTATTTGAATAATAATGACCCGTAGACTCATATATTTGAATGCTTGATAAACGTGGGAGTGACACTACTTGAGAAGGATTAGGAGATATGGTCCTGTTGGAGGAAATGTGTCACTGGGGAGAGTTTTGAGGTTTGGATCACTTGAACTCTGTGGCTGTTATGGACAATGTTATCTTAAACATTCATGGCCAACTTTTTTGATGTATGTTTTCAGTTTCTTGAAAGTACACTGGGTGGTGGAATTTGGGGTTGTTAGTGGTTCTGTTTAGCCATTTGAGGACCTGCTAAACTGCTTTCATGTTGGTTGAGCTGTCTTTCACACTCCTGCAACCCGCAGTGCACACGAGTTCCTGTTTTTATATCCTTGCTAGCACTAGTAGTATCTTTTCTAAAAAGTGAATTTCTTACAATATTAATGGTGTTTGTTGTTTCTATTTTCTATGATGTATATTGCATATATACTTTTTCTGTTTGTGTTGTCTACTTTTTTAATTGAAACTTTTAAATTAAAATATAATTATCACTTTTCCCCTTTCCTGTCCTCATTCTTATCCTTGCCCATCTCAGATTGATGGCCTCTTTTTTTCTTTTATCATTTATTATTTTAATTTTAAATAGCTTGTTTTACATGTCAATCCCAGTTCCCTCCCCTCCCCTCCTCCCGCACTCCCCTTCCCCCCCAGCCTCCCACCCTATTGCCAGTTCCTTCCACATAGGGGATATCTAGAGTCTGTCATTTCACTCTGGGTAGGGTCCAGGCACTCCCCTAAGAGTCCAGGCTGAGAGAACATCCCTCTTTGTGCTATGGGCACACGATGACTGTTTGTATTCCAGGGATAGACACTGATCCACAGCTCAGGGCCCCATAGGTTGCCCAGGCCTTCTCGCTGACACTCACATTTGGGGGGTCCAGATCAGTCCCATGCTGGCCTCCCCGCTGTCGGTCTGGGGTCCAAGAGCTCTCCCTTGTTCAAATCATCGGTCTCTGCTGGTTTTGCCAGCCCATTCTTTGCCAATTTGCTCATCACTCCTCTCTCTGTCACTGGGTTCCTTGGGTTCAGTTCAGTGATTAATTGTGTGTTTGCCTCTGCTTCCATTAATCACTGGATGAAGGCTCCCGGATGGTTATAGACATCAAGTTCATTATCAGGAATGGGCATTCGAGGGGTCTCTCCACTATTGCTTAGCTTGCCAATTGGTGTTATCCCTTTAGATCACTCGAGGTCACTCTGGTGCCTGATCTGTCTTCTAACCTATGATTCCCTCTTCCCCCTATTCTACCCCCACCCACTCAACTGGCCTCTTTTTTATTTACACACACACACACACACACACACACACACACACACACACACACACACACGCACGCACGCACACACGCGCACATACATGCATAAATATATAAATACAATTTGCTGAGTTTGTTTAGTGTGGCCTGTATATATTTCATTTTGGAGCCAACTGCTTTGTATTAGATAACCAGTTAGGGGCTGGGGCCTTAACTCTGGAAGAGGCCAAATTTCCCTTGCTCAACAGTCACTAATTGCCTGTAGTTCTTTTGTTTTTGGATGGGACCCCCAACAATAGATACATCTACAACACAATTTCTACAACTAAGACCCAGGGGACATGTGAAGAGGGCCAGAAAGATAGATTGTAAGAACCAGAGGAACAGGAAGTCCATTTTCAGTTAGAAGTGATACAGGAGCTACAGCATATCTGAACAACATGGCTGCAGTTGTTTGTTTACGTGGGAATCAGGTGCCTTTGTCTCATCGTTTTATACCTTATTGTCTTGAGAAAGATTATTTTACTGAGTCAGAACCTGACCTTTTGGCCAGTCAATGAACACTAGGCATCTGTATGTGTCTGTTTTCCAATTCAGGCTTGCAGGCATGTGTAGCTGTGTCCAGCTTGTTACTTGAGTGCTGGGTATTTGAACTTGGGTACTAATGACTTCAGAGAAGTTGCTCTTTCCTACTGAGCCATCTCTTTAGCCCTACTATTTTTCACTGTTTTTAGTTGCCCATATTGAGTGTGTATAAAGTCTAGAGTTTTATTTGAAGAAGAAAAAGAACTTTGGAATAAGTTCCTGACAAGTATGCAGCAAACTGGTATGTTTGCTTTCGCAGTGATGTGGCCCTAAAAATGGAGAATAGGTTAAAAAAAGGAAGGGAGGGAGGGAGGGGCGTCAACATTACATTATTTTTAAGTAAGGCAATAAAGTTAGGAACCCTTTTCTTTTAAGCATGCATTTAAGGTGCTCTTGCCTCAAGCCCTGGGTGTAGAGAGGACAGCGATTGTGTGGGTGCTAAGTTCCTATGCTCTGTGCATAGGATGCAGAATGGAGACTAGAAGAAAGTGTTCATAGCATGATTGTCACATTGTAATTGTTACTCACTGTACACTGAAAAATCTGTTTTTCATTTCCCCCCCTCAACAGAATATGACAGATACCTAGCATCTAGCAAAAGAATGGCAGCTGCTTATCTTGACCCAAACTTGAATCATACACCAAGTTCAAGTACTAAGAGCCACCTGGGTACTGGCATGGAACGGTCCCCTGGTACAATGGAGCGAGTATTAAAGGTCTTTCATTATTTTGAAAGCAGTAGTGAGCCAACCACCTGGGCCAGTATTATCAGGCATGGAGATGCTACTGATGTCAGGGTAAGTATGTCTTTTTCATGACATCTTTAAGTAGTTATTGTACAATGGCATATAACCCCCTTCCCTGCAAAAGAAGATGAGATAGTTTTAATTGACATCTTGGTGCTCTTCCTTGTTGCAGAGACATTAACCTTTTCTTTCTGGTATACATCCAAAGGGCTAGGGATAGAGGTGCTCAGTCTAGAGCATTTGCCTAATAGCATGGGTTCTTGGATTTGCTTCCCCCAGCACTTGGCAGGTGCTTGGCTAATATATTTGCTATTATGTGACTATTATTTTCTTATCTAAGTCACATTTTAATCATGTACTGCAGTTTATTTATATTTCCACCTAATTATTTTAACCCTTGCAAAGGTACAGAGAACCATTGTAATTAAAATAACTTCTGATCTAGTAAAATAAAATGATTTTTCTAGGAGTTGTAATTTTAGGAATGATCCCATATCTCCAAATAAAATAACTTCCTTAAAACTATTAAATATATGATGTTTTTAAATATTGTGTTATGTTGCAATTTCACTGTAATGTAATTTCTGAATCAGGTAAGGTTGATTTTGGCTCCTAGTTTTGAGATTCTAGTAATGAAAGTGATCCTTTGCTTGGAGCCTTCTGTCCAGGCCACATAACATAGAAGGGGTACATGGTGCAAACCATTCCATCCCTGAGCCAGGAAGCAGAGAAAGAGAAGAGACTGCTGGGATCATTTAGCCCCTCTCAGGGATACTCTAGCTACCTAGAGATCTCCCATTAGCCTTACTTCCTAGAAGTATCCTTAACTATACAAGAAGGCATTAACCATAGCAAGACCCCTTTAGAAGATTTGCTTTTACAGCATGGAATCTGTTAAGGGCAGAGATGGGGCATAGTATAGGATACTCCTCTGCAGGCTGGCTGGGTGCTGGGAAGCTTAAAGGTAGGCCCAGCACCCAAGTGGAAGAATTAGCGCTGCAAAGGTTCTTGGGTTTGTAAGCGAAGCTAGTGAGAGACTTAGGAACGAGATAGGCAAAGCAAATGGGAGAGTGTTTCTGAAAGTTAGGGTATCCTAAGGATTTGAGAAAAAGCAGTCAGTGTGGATTTCCAGGAGGCATTTGCTGTGGTGAGGTGTTGACGCATTCGTCTTCACAATTCTCCTTTTATCTATGTCAGTCTTAGAGAACAGACCTTTGTATTGATAAAGATTAGCTTCGATAAGTCTTTTCCTCCTTTTTTCTTTGTAACCATAATTTAACCAGTTAATTTAGATTTCTTTACTATTTTATTCAAGTAGATCAATAGATTTGATATAAAGCTAAATTCTTTTGTGAGTTATATATACTTTTCTGTTACCTCTGTACAATCACTTCATTGATGGACTATGTAGATGGACCAGTTATTAAAAGGAACATGATGTGGGATGGGAGATGCTCATTTCAGGGATATGGAGATGTTGGGATAGTCTTACCTATCTTGAAGACTATCTCCAGTTTTTGTTTTTGTTTTTTTTTTCCGAGACAGGGTTTATCTGTATCGTTTTGGAGGCTTTCCTGGAACTCACTGTGTAGACCAGACTGGCCTCGAACTCACAGAGATCCTCCTGCTTCTGCCTCCCGGGTGCTGGGATTAAAGGCGTGTACCACCGACGCCTGGGTATCTCCAGTTTTATTTGTAGTACCTCAGTATGAGAAAGCCTCTTGTCGGGGCTGGAGAGATGGCTCAGTGGCTAAGAGCACTGGCTGCTCTTCAGAGGTCCTGAGTTCAATTCCTAGCAGCTACATATAGTGGCTCACAACCATCTATAATTGAAAGACCTCGGCATCAAAGCGCCGGGCACTGAACCGAACCCTCTGCCCAAGAACCGGGACCAGACCACTGGCTGCAAATGCAAGAGGTGATTTATTGAGTACACAGGCGCCTGCGGATGCTACTGCAACTCGGGTGCAGAGCATACCAGGCTTGCAGCGAGCACAATATTTATAGAGTTTTAATGGTTACATAAGTAACAGGCATTTCATTGGCTCATCTTGGGGGCAGGGGTAGTTCCCACGGACTAAGTTTCCTGGTATTACTTTATGAAAGACCCAGGCATACTTCAGCAATTATTATCCTGGTCCCATGACTACTATGGTGATCATAGACACAACTGGGGGCAAGGGTAGTTGCCAAGGACTAGGTGTCCTGGTATTACCACATAAAAGACCCTGGCACGCTTCAGCAATTATTATCCGGGTCCCATGACTGCTCTGGTGACCACAGATCCTGTTTGATATCCTGCCAGCTGGGCGAGGCACCTGGTCTGGGTTTCTTTCATTAGGCAACGGCCTGGCCTTGCTTTTCTTTTCCTAGGGGGTCCTGGGTAGGGGTCTTTCATAATAAGATCTGGTACACTCTTCTGGCGTACAGGGATACATGCAGGTAGAACACCCTATACACAATAATAAACAAATTAATTAATTTTGAAAAAAGAGAGAGAGAAAGCCTCTTGTCTCCTGTGGTATGATCTGTGAGATGGGCACATGGGTATTTGCTGTATGTGTGAGTACCCAAATGCTAACCAAGGTTAGGTGCAAGCTAGGTATCAAACCATAAACACCTCAGAAAGCCCCTAGTGGCAGATAGCATATACTTTGTTCAGAACTTCAAGCAGATATTGGTATACTATCTACAGATAAATGTTCCGTCAAAGCTGTGCAGTATAGAATTGGTAACCCAGGAATATGTAGTGATGCTTTAGAATAGTGACAAAGAAAACCTCAAGTTCTTCAAACTCAAGAAAGAATTGTTATCTAGAGGAAAGAACACCATTTACCCAGTTTTCCTGTGTAACACCAGATGGAGATTGACACAAGCATCTTTAGAGTGCTGAAGGAAGTCACTCGTCTTTCAGAAACTGATAGCAGATGAACTGTCCAGTCAGGATTCTGACACACAGGTGCCTACAGAGGAACAGTGATGTGAAAAGTTAGCAGAGCAGGTGTCCTTGGAAGAACTTTTATGTGGTATAATGAGCATGAACAAAGAGCCCAGAAAATACTATGGCAGGGCCGTGTTACTCCATGGCCCATGTAGTCTCTTTTGTATCTGTTGAAAGTCTTCACAATCTTTTAATTTTATTTTACGTGCATTGGTATTTTGTCTATGTTCATATCTGTGTAGGGTGTCATCTCCTGGAACTGTGGTTACAGACCATTGTGAACTACCATGTGAGTGCTGGGAATTGAACCTGGGTCCTTTGGAAGAGCAGCTAGTGTTCTGAACTGTTAAGCCACCTCTCCAGCCCCAAGTCTTCATATTCTCCTAAGGGTTTAGTCATGATCTTGCTCTGCTCTCTACCTACTCTGTCCTGTATGAGCTCTTAGTCTAAATTTCCATCCATAGTTCTGCTGATTGTGCCTCCTCTCATAATACTTTGATTTATTGTGCTTTTCATGTAGTCATGCTGTCCACAAACAAATAAGCTACAAAGCAGATAAAAAAGCTCATGTCAGCCCTGGATGGAGTACTTTTTGGAACTATTTTCCCCAGTAGCGAGTGTGCTGTTCATTATTGTTTTGTGTCACATTTCAATAATTCTCACAATATTTCAGACTTTTTTGTGGCTATTTTATCTGTTGTGATGAATTCTATTGATTTGTGATGTGTAGCAAAAGATCCCATGGAGACATTGCATCTGGCTTGAATTCCGGAGTGTTAGCACCTTGGCTTTGAACTGCCTTTTGTTTGAAATGTTTTATTCTTATCTGAGTCCTTCTTGAAGGACCCTAATCCCTAAACAATTCAAATAACTTAGTTATGGGAGAACCTGGAAAACTAGGAGGTCTCATGGCTGAAAATTGCTTAGGCAAATGGGTCCTTCAAACAACTCTAGATTAGAGGTTTTCGTATGTGGAAATTGCTTGCTACAGGTGTAAATTGGGTAACAATAAAAAGGCCTTTTGCAAAGCCACAGGCAGTCAGTTCACCAGAGGCTGGATTTCCCTACTATTTTTGCTAAACATAAATTCATCCTAAAGTGACCCTTTTTCTTCCACAGACCCACTCAAAACCAATGATATTTGGCACCCTTGGTGGATGAATTAGGGTTACTCTAGGATGAATTTTAGGCTTTTGCGAAGCAAAGGACAGTTAATTCACCAGAAGCTGATGCACTCTTCTGCTTTAGCTAAAGCCTGAAGTTCTCCCTTGGACTCTTATAAAACAGAACACCAACAGATGTTTGTTTAAGAAGGAAAACGTAAATCTATGGGGCTTTGGGTAGTAGATCGGTATTTATCCCTGGCACACAAATGGACTTTGGGTGTCCATCTCACAATGAGGGATACTCTCTCAACCTGGACTCTTGGGGAAGGGCCTACGCCCTGCCCAGAACAAAATGACAGGCTCTGGAGATCCCCCATGGAGGGCATCACCCTCCCTGGGGAATGGAGTGGGGATTGGGTGGGGAGGGGCTGGAGGGCCTGTGGGGTTGGGGGAGGAAAGGAGGGAGAGGGAGCTGGGATTGACTTGTAAGTTTGTGTATGTACTGAGTCTTTCACCTTAGTACCTTCACATGCTACCTCTCTTCTGGCCTCCCAGTTCCCTGAGATGTAATATTATTGAAATTATGCCAGTTTAGTCATCTGTCAGTGGTCTCCAGGGTACAAGTGAAATGAAGACTTGGATTTCTCATTTATAATTCAAAGTTAGACATACTTAAACTTCTTGAGGAAGGTGCATGGAAAGAAAGCTAAACCTCTTGACCAGACAGTGCTATGTTATAAATACAAAGAAAAATTCTAGGAGACAATTTTTTCCAGTTAACACAAGAGTGATCAGACAGTGATACAGCTAATTGCTAATAAGTAGAAATTTATAGTGCCCTGGATAGAAGCTCAGACCAACCATAATATTCCCTCAAGACATATCCTGGTCCAGAGTCTTTGAAGGTTGAGAGAAGAGAAGAAACCACTTTAGAGTATTTTTGAGCATCAGAGACTGGTTCATGAAGTTTAAGGAAAGCAGAATCTCTGTTCATGTGAAGTTTGTGAAGTAGCATATGCTGACCTAGAAGCTGTAGTACAATATCCAGAACACCTAGCCAGCTTGCTAGGCTAAAGAAGACCTTTTAATATAAACGAAACTTTTCTGGTAGCCAATGCCATCTAGGACTTTTATAGGTAGGAAGAACCAGTTTGGCTTTAAAATTCAAAGAACAGGGCTATAGAGATGTTTCACTATAAAGAGCGAGCTATTCTTGAGAAGAATCAGCTTCTGAGATTCCAATGCCCTCTTCTGGCCTCCATGGGCAATTACACATACCTGCACATTACAAACCCACAAACTCACACAGTATACATAAAAGTAAAGTAAACTCAGAGAACATAGGGCTAAACACATGGCCTAGAGATTAAGAGTGTAATTCTAACTATTGGCTCAACTCCCTCTCCTGGCTTCTGCAGGCACCTGGACTTCTCTAGAGAACTTTGCAAGGCCAAGGAAGCATCACTTTTGGAGCTTTTTTTCTATGTCCTCAAGATGACGTTGGCCAGTTTATGTCTATGCTGAGCCTCCCTGACAGAGGCTTCCTTCCCTTCTAGCTTATGTTTGAAAAGAAAATTAGTAGTTATGTTGACATACAGCCTCCTGCTGTTGTGGGTGGGTAGGTTGAAGTATAACAGATCTTTGCCTTGTTTTGATTCCAAAATGAAGCCTGATGAGAAGACACCATTTAGCTATTGAGTATTGCTCCTGCCAAATTCAAACCACATTAAACTTATAAGGGGTGTGTGGAGCTTTTGTAGAGCCATAGATCACACTTGGGATTTAGCATGCTACACAAGCCACTTGGGAATGACTGGTATTTTTTGAACCTGTAATTATAAGTAAATTTGTGTAGTTCACCAAATGGTGTTTACAGTTAGATGAACACTAATTATTTAATATTGTCTGCTGTTTGGTGGAAAGGATAGTGTTAGATCATAGCATTTGGAGACTGCTTTAAAATTAGCATTCTGATTAGTATGGGAAGCACACCACTAGAATGTGTGTGTATGTGTGCGCATGCCCTCATGTGGCAGTGGCGGCAGCGGGGGGGGGGGGGGGCAGGGGGTTGTTTCTATGAGCAGAGTTGTGCTGTGTATAAAATGGTGGAACCAAAGGAAAAGGTTCTTTGGATCAGATTCTCTGAGCTTGACCACAGGCCTGGAAGTTAAAGCTTTGCAGTGTTTGTCTAGTGTCATCTCTCCATAATTTTTCTCTGACAGAAGAGCATAAGGGGGGTGTGTTCGAGGTATGTTTTTTTAAATGCCAACTGCTGTGAGTTAAACTTGAGAAGATTCCACATGTCTTAGACTTTTCTTCTAGAGAAGTGAGAAAGAAAGTGTTAAGAACAGTAGAGAGTTTCAGAGAGGGAGGAGTGATGAGCAAAGGGGTCAAGACCAGGCTGGAGAAACCCACAGAAACAGCTAACCTGAACAAGGGGGAGTTCATGGATCCTAGACTGATGGCTGGGAAACCAGCATAGGACTGATCCAGACCCCCCTGAATGTCTGGGCAATCAATGGGGCCTCTGGTAGTGGATCACTATTTATCCCTAGTGTATGAATGGACTTTGGGGGCCCATTCCCCATAGAGGGATACTCTCTCAGCCTAGACACATGGGGGAGGGCCTAGGCTCTGCTCCAAATGATGTGACAGACTTTGAAGATTCCCCATAGAAGGTCTCACCCTCCCTGGGGAGCAGGAAGGGGATGGGGTTGGGGGCAGGGGAGGAGGAGAGGGAGAGGGAACTGGGATTGACATGTAAAACAAGGTTGTTTCTAATTAAAAAAAAAAAAGACAAAGAATAATAAAAAAGAAAGTGACATAGAGGAAAAACCGTACTAAGGGGAAGGCGAGGTGGCAGAGTATGAAGCCGGGAAGTTTTCTCTCGCTGTGATCTTGGACAGGGAGATTCTGGCAGACAGAAGGTTACTCTCTAAAGATGATCTTCATCCTAAGCCCCAGAACTCACACATATGCTCCTCCAGGTAGTGAGTTGTGGACTTAATGCAAAGACCTCTTGAAGACTTGGTTTCTCCAAGACCCAAAACAGTGCACATGTGTCATTTTCGTCTTTTTTTAAGTTTGTGGAGATTTATTAGAGCACCGGTGGGAAGCTAATGCTGTGTTTGGTGACCATCCAAAGATAAAGCACATCCTTTGATTTAGAGGAACTTTTAGATGGACTCCTGGGCTAGGTTTTGAAGAATCTGAAGCTCTGCATCCTTATTGTGGGATAACTAGCAGGGTAAGTGGTATAGGGAAGGGAAGGAAGGAAAGGAGTGTTAACAGGGCCTTTTGGTAGTTACCCTAGTAAAGAACCTAGAGACCTGCAAACAGTTGGTGCTTGTTTGCCTGTGTTCTTATGCCTTTCTCTTGCCAAACTCAGACCTTTTGTGGGTAAGGATTGTATTAGACTCTTTGGTCTGTAATCATCATTTCTCTGGGGGTGTTTTCCAGGGCATCATTCAGAAGATAGTGGACAGTCACAAAGTAAAGCACGTGGCCTGCTATGGATTTCGTCTCAGCCACCTGCGATCAGAGGAAGTTCACTGGCTGCATGTGGATATGGGAGTCTCCAGTGTGAGGGAGAAATATGAACTCGCCCACCCACCAGAGGAGTGGAAGTAAGATTCTAATGCACTGGGGTGTGACCATGCTGGATTACTTTGTGTGTTAAAAATATGCACAAGAGGATGAATGTGTCAGCTTTTATGCTGCTTGTAATCACTATTCCTGTGTAAAGGAGATAGCCTAGTAATTACTAACCAGTGATTTCTTTAGAACATGTAGTTAAACATGTCTCTCTTTCCATTCCTTGTCTTCTATCACCATGGTCTTTGATGAGCATAGTTGTTCTCTATTCGTTGGCTTGCACTTCTGCTGTGAGTGGTATTACTGCCTTGTGATCCAGTGTTAACCTCTCATATAGCAGGGTTTGACTTGTCCAGGAGGAGGTCACAGCTGATGGTCTTATCAGTGGGCTAATAGCATACTTATGTCCAGTAATCTGCACTCACCTGAAAAGAATGGTGCATACTTGTTCACGTATAGGATGATAGTGGGAGTGGCTCTTAGTGATGAATGAAGCTGAAGTTATTTTAAGATGATTTAAAAGAATTCCTAGTCACTTATCCTTTTCCTGCTTAACACATTAATTTTTATGAGTAAGTGAATTTTTTTAGTTGAAAAATCTTGAATCTAAAATAGTTTTGAGAGAAGTATATCTTTAAAAAATAGTCTTCTTCCATGTCGTGCCCTCAGGCATGCACTGAAGAGGGTCAGTAGCTTAAACAAGGGCCTGGATCAACAGGAAAACCAGCTTATTTAGATAAAATACAAATTCATCAGTTTTGTGTCAGTTGTGTAAAGTTCATCAGAGAATACAGTTGTATTTTTAAATCTGTCAGATAACTGGGGTAAACAAGCTATTCCTGGAGAGCATAATTAGGTTGGTTTATATAAACTGATAGGAAAGGAAGATTTGACTTCTAAACAATCAATTAAATGTTTAGAAATTAAATATCTAGCCAGGCGGTGGTGGTGCATACCTTTACTCCCAGCACCTGGGAGGCAGAGACAGGCAGGCATATCTCTGTGAGGTTGAGGCCAGCCTGATCTACAAAGTTACACAGAGAAACCCTGTCTGGAAAAAACAAACAAACAAAACCAAAAATTAAATATCCAAATGTCAAATGAAAATAACTGCAGGTTTTCACTTGTTCCAATTATATGACGTTCTTCTTTTTCACAGACACTGTAGGGGAAACTTCATTCTCTTTGTTTATGCTCAGAGAATTTTAGGATTTGATCACCAGCTTTTCTGTTGTTGTTCTTCTAAGCCAATTTGGTTTACCTTCAATCAGGTAAAATATAGTAGGGATTACTATTGCTAAAACAGGGTTTAATGGTTGAAAAATTAGTAACCCATAAATGTTGGGTTGAATATTGCTGAAAACATTGTAGAGATGACCAGGAAGCAGGCTCGTATGCATGTGAATGTAAAGATGTCACAGCCCCTCCTTACCTCCCTCCCATGTGATGTATATTCATGATGTGCATGTGTACATGCTTGGCCTTGTGCCTATGCTCTCTATTCAGTCTTCACATGTCCTTGAATGGGACACACAGAAACCAGTAAGCAGGTTGCCGCAGTCATCTGTGTAAAAAGCCTAACGGTGGGCAGGGAAGAGGAGGAATTGTCAGGTGAGTTCTATAGTTTTCGAAGCTTAGAAAGATCCTTGAGTGTCCAGTTTCAATGTTTGAGTCACTTTTGCTCAGAAATGCCTTGTGTAGCTTCTCTACATGCAGGGCCAGCCCAGAGGTTTTGGCTTCTTTGTAGTCTGGCTCCTGCTGCTGCTCATCTCATCCTCCTGATCTGCTGACATTGGTCCCTCTCAGATTTCATCTTCTACTCTTGCGTATAGCTTGCAAGTGTTTTCATGGGATCGGAGTCTCTTCTTCTTGTGCTGTCTTTGGTAGTTGTTGATGAAGCTAGCCCTCCATCTCTTTCTGACTTCCTTGGTCCTGTCCTCTTTTGCTTTTACCCTTTAAATTTTTTCACTTGCCCCAGCTTTTTTAATGGCTTTCGTAACACATCAAGTGTATTACTGAAGGGTGTGACTGTGGAATACACTCTTCTGCCCGGAACCAGTGGGTGGATTGCTTTGATTTCTGAGTGCCTAGAGTCTGTGTTTGCTTACCTTTCTCTCTCAGGAACTTTCATATTCATCACTCTGTTTCTAAACATTGGTTTAGAGTAAAATATATTTTAATGAAAAAAGGTCTAAGGTAATATATTGCTAGTGTCATTGTAAAATAAGCAAGAAGGAAAATAATGATAGTATTCAAATACATCCAAAAAGTGTTTATTATAGTAATGATAATATAATAATAATAAACAATGTATTGTCGCCATCAAGTTTTGTTTGGTTCTGTTTCATAATTTTGATAGTGTTTGTATTATCAATTAATAGGGTGGATTTTGCTTGAATTTTTCCCCATCAACCAGGCTTTTATGTAAGTGTTTCTTCCATATTGGCTGTTGACTTGTTATCATGCATCAGGAGAAGAGCAACATTCATTCATTCATTTACTCACTCACTCACTCATTCATTTATAGACAGGTTCTCAGTGTGTAGTCCTGGTTCTCCTGGATGGAACTCACAATGCACACCAGACGAGCCTAGAATTTACAGATTCTCCCATTTATACCTCCCAGGAGTTGGGATTAAAGCCATGTAGCACCATACCCGATGAGAAGAGTAAATATTTTTATGATGCTCTTTGACTCATTTTTTTATTCTGTTCAGATGAGTTTTTGTTCTTCAGAGATTAATTGGTTGGTTTCTTCATCCTTTTTGAAATGAATGTATATAGTTGTGTGACCGACATGAAGGTACATGCCTTTAATCCCAGTACTTAAGGCTAAGGCAGGAGGATTGCCCTGAGTTTCAGGCCAGCCTGGGCCATGTAATGAATTTCTGGCTAACCAGGATTTCGTAGCAAGACCCTATCTATATCTGAACAAACAATCAAGAAAAGGAAATGGGGAGTGAATGTGTTGTAGGTTCCTATACAAGCTTCTTTTTATGCTGTTCCAACATTATATTGTTTATATTTGTCTGCTTGAAAATGACATGTTAATGTATTCAACTAGTTTTGTTTTTTAAAACATTCTGCCTCTGCTTCTGTATTTACAACAGTAGTGTCTTCATTCATACTTCACATTGTAACATGTGCCTCATTTTTTTTCTTACATTCCTCTTGTCAGTAACATGTCAGATCCAGAGGGAGGAGTACCATGGTGCCAGTTCAGGGCACTAAGTCTGCCTGTGCCCCAACCGACTTTGACACTTTGGAAGAATACTGTCTAGGTTTATACTGCTCTTGATTTGGGTTTCTCTGCTGTTTTGTCATGGTTATATTAAGGTTATTTGTTTTTTAAAACATAGACATTCAAGGTGTTCTTTTTGTTTAGTTTGTTTTGATTTTTTGAGACAGGGTCTTTCTATGTAGCCCTGGCTGACATGGAGCTTGCTATGTCAAACAGGCTGGCCTGGAACTCACAGAGACTGACTTGCCTCAGGCTCTTGAGTGCTGGGATTCAAGGTGTGTGCTATCACTGCTGGCCCATTAAGATGTTTTTATTGCATGATACTAGGAAGCCTGTTGTGACAAACTAAATTTACCTGGGAGCTCCGTTGGGATCATTAGGCTGCAGTGAAGATACTCAGGTGTTTCCTGTCACTGTTTCCCCTTTATAATGAGACACTTGAGACTATGCAGAGAGTTTGGTTTTTTCATTGCACTATCATCCATCAGTCATATCATCTTTTAGTAATTCTGCCTTGTAGTAATTGGTACATTAATTTTTACTAGATGGGTATTTGCGTTTCTATTCGTCTCTATTTTGTTAATTGGACATGTGAGAATGAGTTTTTTCATTCCATGTTGCTTGTGAAGGGTTATCTGTGTTTAATGAAGCTGTACTTTTTGCTAAACTTAGTATCAGGTCTACTAGATCTTCCTTCCTTCCTTCCTTCCTTCCCTCTCTCTTTTTCTTTTCTTTCTTTCTTTTTTTTTTTGTTTTTGTTTTTGTTTTTGTTTTTTGTTTTTCAAGACAGGATTTCTCTGTGTAACAACTTTAGCAGTCCTGGAACTTGCTATGTAGACCAGGCTGGCCTCAAACTTACAGAGATCTACCTGCCTCTGCCTCCCAAATGCTGAGACGAAAGGCATGCGCCACCACTGCCCAGCCTAATAGATCTTTTTAGTCCATTTTAGCTTTTTCTGAAACAGCCTTCTGTTCTCAGTAGTTGTTTAACTTATGCTTACAGTTGGTGTGAGCTCAGGAAGCAAGATACCCTTGGCACTACTGAGAACAGATTGCTTTGGAGCAGTATCAAAGGGTAACTTTATTTGGGGCATGTTATATTTAACTGGTCTTTGGAAATCCATGGAGAAGCAACATACTATCTCTTAGCATCATGGTAACAGAAGTGTAGAGAAAGTCCTGAACTTTGTGAAGATGAGGTGTGGGGAAAAATGATGTGGGTATCAAGTGTCACAGGCTAAGGATTTAGGATTGGAATTAAATAAGACTGGAATTAAATTAGAGCACCTTGAGCAAAGAGTTTCACGGTTGTGTTTACATGTTCATTTATTTCTCCAGCATCCTGGTGAGGGAATTGAGTCTCATTGACATGATGGCTGACAGTGAGTTTAGTTACATGGCACAGGTCCATTGTAGACAGTTTTCTTGATCAGAAGCCCCTGTTCTTATAAAAACACAGCACCTGTGTAAAATGCTGGCAAATTTCTAAGTTCCTAGTTGTTGGCTGTAGCTGATACCCAGAGTCAGCATCAGAATGCTATATGTAGATCCGGACTAGGCAGTTTTTGATTGGGGGCCTGTTTCCTTAACTACTGCTGGCAAAACACTCACGGTGGAGAATCCTGAGCAAATGCTTTCCTAGACACAGAAAGCCAAGCACGGAACCTTTGCACTCTCCCTATTACTGATGAGAAACAATGCACATAAGTAGGTAGTTCCCAGTAAGTCCTCTTGTAGACACCTGCCCAGTGCAGTGCATCTGGCTTGAGTTACTTACTGGATGCCATAGAACCTGATTGTTTGCTAATTGTTCTGTTTTAAGAGGGTCTCACTGTTAGTATTCAGGCACTCACTGGTTTTTTTTTTTTTTTTTTTTGGTTTTTCGAGACAGGGTTTCTCTGTGGCTTTGGAGGCTGTCCTGTAACTCACTTTGTAGACCAGGCTGGCCTCGAACTCACAGAGATCCGCCTGCCTCTGCCTCCCGAGTGCTGGGATTAAAGGCGTGCGCCACCAACGCCCGGCCAGGCACTTACTGTTAAGCCCAGCTTCCCTCCTTTTATCTCACAGCTCTCCTGTACCAGGATTACAGGTTTGCCCCCACCACACAGTGTACAGTGTTTTATATTAAGAGAGGCCTGGTGTATAAATAGTGAACTCCTCAAAAGATACCGTTAGCCAGTGGCGGTAGCACACACTTAATCCCAGCACTCAGGAGCCAGGGCAGGTAGATCTCTGTGAGTTCAAGACTATCCTGGTCTATAAAGTGAGTTCCAGGACATCCACAGCTGTTAGAGAAACTTTGCCTCCAAAAAAGGAAAGTATCATTAAAATTTTTTTAGAAATCAGCTGGCTATGGTGGCACACACCTTTAATCCCACTACTTCCCAGAGGGAGGTATGGATCTTTTGTGAGTTTAAACCTGGTCTATATAGTGAGCTCCAGTCACATCTCAAAACAAAATAAAAATGAGTTTTCATAGAAGCATTGTTCCAGCAGTCAAAAAGCTGAAACCGTTCCCTTGGCCACAGTTAATTTTAAGGATAAATAATAACCTTCTGATGCAGTGCCCTCTGAAGAGGATGGAGCTGCTGCTATTAGCTGCATATACTCTCATTTGCATGTTGCTGAATGAAACACACCAGACACTACACAGTGTGTAAATTGGCTGTGGGGGGTGCTTGAGGATGGGGCAAAGTGAGGGCACCTGAGTGGGCTGCAGGCCTTTGTTGTCCTCATGCTCTGCCTCATCACAAAGTGACGATATTGTAGCACCTGCTGCATAGGCACACAAGGTTTGTCCATTTAAATACTGATGTGGTCTTACTTTCAAAATTGTATTTAGGAGTTAATTGGCAATGAGTTACTCAAAATAATAATGTGGTTGTAGAATGTAAATTCAGAAAATGATTTACTTCTAATCATTGTATTTTGTGAATTGTCTTTCAGATATGAATTGAGAATTCGTTACTTGCCAAAAGGATTTCTAAACCAGTTTACTGAAGATAAGCCAACGTTGAATTTCTTCTATCAACAGGTATTAAAAAAAAACAAAAATAAAAACCACTTTCTTATGCTGCTTTGCTTCTTTAAATCATCTTTATTTTGTGTGTTCATTTTAGAGTAATATAAAACCTTATATTTGAGAGACTAAATATAGAGAAGTCCTGGGTTAAAAGTGTTAGCTCATGAAAACTTACTTTTTTATACTTGAATTTTTGTATGCTTGGGCACATCGTGAAAGATGCTTGTTCTTTATGTGTACAATAGGTCCAAGGCTATTGTTCAGGGATCATGCTTGAACATCAGTCAGTTTGTCGTATAAAAATTTCTGTCAGTGAATTTGGATAATTTTTGATGCCAAGTTTCATAATAAAGCAAAATGAGACTTCTCTTTAAAAAAAGTCAAAGGCAGTTACTTGTGGCATGTCTTAGTTACTTTCCTTTGGCTGTAATAAGACACTGTGACCAAGACAATGTATAGAAGAGTTTATTTGGGGCTCACAGTTTCAGGGGGTAACTCAGTGGCCATCATGGTGGGGAGCATGTCAGCAAACAGGTATGCATGACTCTGCAGATTATATTTTGATCCACAAGTGTAAGGCAGAGAGCAAACTGGGAATAGTGTGGGCTTCTGAAACCTCAGAGCCTACCCCAGTGACACACCTCCTCTAACAAAGCCAGACTTCCTAATCCTCCCCAAGTAATTCTACAAGCTGGGGGCCAAGAATTCAAACATAATGAAGTCTTTTGAGCCCATTCGCATTCATACTACTGCATTCCACTCCCTGGCCCCTATAGGCTTATAGCTATATCATAATGCAAAAATGCAGTTAGTCTAACTTAAAAGGTCTCCATAGTCTTTCAGTGTCAACACAGTTTAAAAGCTCAAAGTCTCTTCTGAGATTCAGGGCAGGCTCTTAATTGTAACCCCTGTGAACTCATAAAGCAAATTATATATTTCCAATATAACAATGACACAGAATATATATTAGAATTCCAAAAGGAAGGAAAGGGGATATAGAGGTGAAATACTGGACCAAAGCAAGATGGAAATTCTGCAGAGCAAACTCCAAAGCCTGTAATGTCATGTCTGGTGTCTGGAGGGTTAGATGGCTTTGCCAGGTACCTTCTGTTCATTACGAATACTTGTGACTGGAGATAGTGCCAGGCCACCGAAGACCATTTGCTAACCACACAGCAGGTGTGAGCTCATGCTCTGAGATGACATACCAATCTCTGTGCTTCTAAGACCATTCCAGTCTGTTGTCAACATTTATCTGCAATTCTCTTATTTAACCCCTCTTTTATTTTTTAAAAATTGTTAAATCATTGGCATACATTTAGAAAGTCCAGGAAATTACCTTGTTGTGTTTGTCTGCTTTTATGATAGTGCATCAAGTACATAACACTTTAAAAGAAATAAAGGTGACAAATATTGTTGCAGTGGTTTGCTAGTGTCAGTGGTCATCCAGAGTCTCAGGTGCATTGTACCAAGTGCACAAGAAAATGAAAGTGTGTTCAAAGTCTGAGTTTGGGGATTGATAAATCTAGATTTTAAGCTCTATCTCTTTAAAATTTCTTTTTGAGACCCTTTATAAATTGTCTTGTGAGCTTTGTACATAAAGTAGGATTAATAAAGCCGGCCCTGAGTAATTACACGGATCAGAAGTGATTTATATAAAGTACTAATCCCAGGGCCTGACTGCTCGTAGATGTTCTTTAAGAAGTGAGTCTGCTGTGATTGTCTGTAACCTTTCAGGCTCTCTGAGGCTATAAGATGGGATTGTGAGATGCTGGTTTCTAGACTGAATGAACACTGTCATAAATTAACTCAATGTGAGGGGAACAGTTGTGTGTGTATGTACTGTATGGTACAGTCTACATCGTTTAACAATGGGCATATATTCTAGGAAATCCATCCTTGGACAGTTTTGTCATTGTGCAAACATTACAGAATACTTGCACAAACGAAGAAGGGTATATCACCTTGCAGGTCTCAAGGAACAAGCATTGTTTTTGTGGTCATTTTATTGAATGGGATGTCATTGTGTGATATATGACTCTATATGCATATATATACTGAAGTGCTTGATCAATCTGTTTTTTTTTTTTTCAAAATAAAAGCAGTTAATTCTGATAGGATTAATAAAAGTTGCAGCTTGGGAAATGAACAGTTAAGGTGAGGACCCTGAGTCTTACAGCACAACCTCAGGATTGACTGTGCTCTGTGGCTGCAGAGAACACTGGAGCAGAATACATGAGTGTTTTTAGACCACAAATAGTTTCAGGCTGTGAACTAACTGCTCTGAATTTTGGAGTAAAACTCATATGTGAAGGCATTTCCCCTGAGGATTATTATCACTCCTCTCCCCTCAACTCAGTATACATTTGGCTTTAATGAGTGACTTAGGACACTTGATTTACCTACCTTTGAACAGTCCCTAGAAATTGCAGTAATTGATCCTCTGGACATTTCGTTTATCATCCTTATGGCATTGAAAGTCTGCAGTAGTACCTCTGAAACTGTCCCAAGTGACTGAAAACCACTTGAATCATCTTTTGGCTTTTGTCCCTCTGCAAAAGTAGGAAGTCTCTATAGGAATTGTAAATTTAAGTGACACTTATACTGCATTATTGCAACTGCTCAGCAGTAAGCTTAGAGAAAGGGCATTGGGCCTCAATACAGGTTGGTTTGTTTCCCCAAGCAATTACAGTAGATAAGCAGTGGTAGACATGGGGACTTGGAGGTTGTGGAAGGAAAGATTGCAGCGATGACTGTGTGCTGAATGGGATCAAAATCGTTGAATTAGAAGCTAATAGACTAGGAGATAATAGTTGAAAATATTTGAAAGTTTTTCTTGGACAGTAGTCAATGTACTTTTTCTGCAAAGAGCCATAGAGTAAATAATTTAGGCTGTGAGAACCAAGATACAAAATTGAAGACCATAAGAAAGTGGGTGTATAGCAAGAGAAGAAACCAGTTTTGGCAAGTATTTGTGTTGGCATTACTCAAAATGTAATTAATTATGGATTTTGAGAATATAGATGTGTTATGAGGGAGGACAGACAGTGTTCCACTCTAGGTTCAGAGTACATGACCCTTGTCTTCAAAATCAACGGCAGATTTTGGTCTCTTAATGCAAATCTGTGAGGAGATTGTATGCATTTCAGCTTTGCAAATGTCTTCATGCTGACAGGTATTCAGACAGACTGGGTCAGTCATGAGTACCTTGTGTGTGTTCAACTTTAAATTTATTATTTGCATGTATGTAGTTTATATGTATGAATGTGGGCATCACATACCATGTGTTTGTGGAGGTCAGAGGACAAGTTTCAGAAGTCCCTTTTCTCTCTCTACTGTGGGTTCTTGGGATCAAAATCAGGTAATCCGGCCTTGCAGCAGGTCTTTTATGGGCTTAGCCATCTTGCTGGTCTGCTTTTTAGTGTTTTGACACAAAGACTCACTGTGGGATGACAACATTTTATCATTACATCTGGTTCTATCTGTGTTTAATTGAGTTGTCACCAGTGTTCCTTTATGTTAGACTTCAGGTGTGTTGCTTTGCAAATTAGTAACACAGAGTGGACAGTTTGGGGACTTTGAGGTTACATGTTGGATTTTGAAGTACATGAATTTTTGTGGCCCTTGCTCTGAGGCCCCCAAATGTTTTAAGAACTGGGCTTATTGCTCAGAGAAATAGTTTAATAGAAATGTAGCTCTTGATGCTTGTGTCTGCTTTGGGCTGAGTAGGGAGACTAGGAAGCAGCAGAACATTGCTGTGGTGTAGTGTGTCAGTTGTTCAAGGCCACACACACAGATGCAGTCCTAACCTGCACAACTCTGCCTTGGGAAAAGGCTCAGTGGGCTGGCAACCTGAGTTCCTGGAACCCATGTAAAGGTGGAAGGAGACAACCAGCTCCATGGAACTCTCCTCTGACCTGCATACTTGTACCATAGATTGTGCATGCACATACAATACTTAGGTCTGTAGTTATTTTGGGTGTTACTTATTTTTCAGCATATTATTGACAGTGCAAACAAATATGTAAAAAAGCATTCAGCAAATATTTAGGGATTGATCATATTGCAAACATTCGTGTTTCCCATTCCTTTATTTCAGGTGAAGAGTGACTACATGCTGGAGATAGCTGATCAAGTAGATCAAGAAATAGCTTTGAAGTTGGGTTGTCTGGAAATTAGGTAGGTGATAATACTACACTGATTCCATGTATTGTTTTGTTTTCTAGGTACTTTCCTCTTTAGAAAGTTACCAGTAAAATCGTGATTAAATTGAGAGAGGATTCCACATTACTTACTATTATTTGGATCTGTCTTGCATAGTTGTTTATTATTCAACAGCTTAAACATTCCATATGTATATATATATTTATATGTTCCCTGATTTCAGGCGATCCTACTGGGAGATGAGGGGCAACGCCCTAGAGAAGAAGTCCAACTATGAAGTGTTAGAGTAAGTACTGCACGCTTGAGCGTCCATTCAGACTCTGCACACCCTCTCCTAGTTCATCTCTATTTAGAAATTGCCTGAAATGATGGACTTCTCAGTCTTTATTTGGAGGAGAAAAGGCTTTCAATAAAAAATCCTGATGACTTTAATTTTATGCCTGAGCAATGTACATACATACAAACATACATACATACATACATACATATGCACAAATGTAATTGATTTTTTTAAAGATATACAATTTCACTAAGATGATACTTTGCTCTATTTTACATCAAAATTAAGAATTGCCCATAAAGCCTGGCAGTGGTGGTGCACGCTTTTAGTCCCAGCACTTGTGAGGCAGAGGCAGGTGGATCTCTGAGTTTGAGGCTAGCCTGGTCAAGTTCCAGGACAGCTAGAACTGTTACACAGAGAAACTGTGTTTCAAACCTCCCCACCCAAAAAATGAATTGCCTATAAATTGGTCATCTCTGCAGATCACCTAAGGATTCTTTTTTAATAAATGGAGAAATGAGAATTATTCGTTATTCATATATCAAAGACTGTAAAATATAAAAAAATTTCTGGTGATGATATTTTTATATTAGTCTATTGTATTTGGCTGTTTTAAATATGTGTAAGGGAAACTGAACCTTGATAGAAATAATTAATTCAGCAAGGCAGTTGATATTTATTGTAGCTGAGTGAAGCTATGTTTTACTGTCATATACCACTATTGTTTCCATCTGTTTTTGTGGTATTTAGAGTGATGTACTACTAAAATATTAGCAAAGGTCATCTAGAACTCTTCTGTTGTAATGAAGACTATACTAATTTTAGATTTTCTAGGTGAGAACATTACTTTTATAGTGTAAGAGTTTAACATTCCCCCATCTTGAAAATAGGAGCTTGCAAGACATATATGGCTACAGAAAAAGAAAAGTAGAAGTGTTTAGCAGTACAGTTGCTGTTGGAAGTAGAACAGGGTGATTTGGCTATTGGTAAGTCTCCTAGGGTCCAAGCTGTCCATCATGTTTCATTAGGTTCATGACAGTGTATACATAGCAGACAATACGTATGTTTATGAAGGCATGTCACATGCTTTGTGTCCACTACAAATGAAGTCATTTTCAGTAGAATTTTTACTGCCCTTTATTGGATAGGTTATGTCTAATATTCATTGTAGTTTATGATTTTTGTTTAAAGTAACTACGTTCTTCAGCCTTAAAAACTCCTTAGTGCTTGAAATGCATATTGCCAGAATTAAGAGAAATCATTAAGGGTTGCTTGCCATTAGTAGGTTTTTGTTTGTTTGTTTGTTTGTTTTGCAGCCATGTTCTTATAAGATAGGGCTTCATTTTGCCTGCTTGCCTTGAACTTCTGATCCTCCTGCCTTCACTCCCAAGTACTAGGATTACAGGTGTCCATCTGGAGGAAGTGTTTGGAGAAAGTTTCATGTTCAAGTTCCTCAGTTAGGAATGAATTAAAGTTTGTACTACAGTTGATGTAAAATTGGCTTCTAGAAATTACAGAAAGGTAACAGGAGAATAAAGTAACAAAAGAGGTCTTACCTGGCACTTTCAAAATTGTGGTGTGGTGTTTTTGTGAGAAATCAGAAAAATGGACTGTGGAGATGACCTTTACAAAGGTCAGGACTTGTGGTTATTACTACTTGAACACAGGAGAAAGAGGCAGAGCAAGTGTGTGAATCAGATCCTTCATAGAAGACATGGATGAATGACATGGTTTGAGGTGGTCAATTTGTATATATGTGTGTTGATCACACAAGTAAATGTGGGTATTGCAAAAAAGGGATCTCACATCCTGTGACTGTAGGTTTGCTTTGCTCTTTTAGATGTGCTTCAACCTCTAAATACCTGAGCTTTTGCACTCCTACCAGAGTGACTCTCCAGTTATTTCATTTGTATGAAAGGATTCGTGGTGGCTGAGTGGTGGTTGCATGTGCAGAGTGCTTGGCTCCAGGCCTAGCTCTTCCTTAACCCTTTGTGATATACAGTGGTGGTCATGCTGCTGCCTGCCTGTGGGTTTCAGGAGGGAATGTTGGATGTCGTGATCCCAGCACTGAGTGTGAGTTGACGGTAACCCTCTGTGTGGAGGAGAGATGATCAGCCAGCATAAAACCAAACTGTGTAGAACTCTTCCGAAGAATACTGGCAAAAATGAGTAACAGAGTATGGGACTCAGCAGTTGCATTAATTTGGAGCACATTTGAAAGGAGTTTAGATGGTTTACAAAGGTAACAGAATGTTCTCTAATTAGAGAAAATTTAAATTACATTGTCAAATGGTGGGAAAAAGCCAGTCCTTCTTATCCCAGGACTTATGCATAACACCTCCTCAGTCTTTTTTTTTTTTTTTTTTTTTTTTTTTTACGAGACAGGGTTTCTCTGTATTGTTTTGGAGGTTGTTGGTCCAGCCCGGCCTCGAACTCACAGAGATCCACCTGCCTCTGCTGGGATTAAAGGCGTGCGCCACCACTGCCCGGCCACCTTGTCAGTCTTAATAAAGAGCACAATTCTTTGAAACTGGGTGTTGCATGCCTTGTTTCTAATGCAAATAAGATGAGGTTAGATGTGGACCTTGCCAGTTCATCCAGCCTTTTGTTGGTTGAAGATGTCTTTCTCTTTGAAGAGGCCCACCCTTGAGTATATACACCTGTCCTTTTCTTAAGCTTATCCATCTCTTCCTCCTTGTTTTATCCCTTTCCTCCCCCTTCCCTTTCTTCCTGACTAACCTGTACTAATATGTATAAACATTAAGAACTTAATAAACTCCAGTTTTGCTCAAAAAAAAAATAAGAGACCAGCCTTTCCATGTTGCCAAGTAGAAATGTGTTAGTGCAGGACTCATCAGGCTACTGGTATGTTGTTTTCCGTCTGATCTCACACTAGTTCTAATCAGTAATGTGTAATGCCTGACAAGGTATTTAGCCGTTCATTATTTTCTATGGGATAGCAACCATCTTCAGATTAGCTTGTTTTATATAGTTCCTTTTTATTACTGATAAAGTTAAATACCTCTCAGTTGTACCCATTTTATATTCCTCTTGCATAGTGACTATGCCTTTCGCTTTCTTTTTGGGTGAGCTGGGTCTTGTTTGTAGCCTAGGCTGCTTCAGCACTCTGTCCTTTTGCCTAGCCTCTCAAGTTCTGGGAGTACAGGTGTGTGCTCCCATGTTTTGCTGGTATTTCTAATAAACCTATCTTTTTCTTTATTAATACTGAAGTCTTTGCCAATTTAGCTCCATATCTGTGGTGTCAATTATGCATGCATGTCCCCTGACCCCTTGTATATGTGACACTCACAGATGCTTATCTGCCTTTTTTTTTTTTGTTATTGTTGTTGTTGTTTGTTTTTAATAGTTTTTTGAGACAGGATCTCTTTGTATCTTTGACTGTCCTGAATCTTACTAGACCAGGCTGATCTTGCCTGCCCATGCCTCAATTGTTATGCTTGTATTTCTTAATCTAGTGGGTTTGTTTTTTTTTTTTAATCTACCTTGGGACCTGTCTCCTATTGTGCTTTTTATGGCAAGGTACGGAAACGAGGTGAGCTTGCTTGCGTGTTCGTTTTTCAAGATGTTTAATGACTTAAGATGGTTATATGTGAAGCCTAGAAAGACAGCTCAGCTGTTACAGGTACTTCTGCTCTTCTAGAGGACCCAAATTCAGTTCCTAGTACCCATATGGTGGAGCGCCTCCCTGCTGCTTGTAACTCTGGTTCTAGTGCATCTGCACCCTCTTCTGGCTTCCATGAGGACAGACGTACATGTGGCATATACTCACACAGATATATACATAAATAAAAAATAAATCTTTAAAGATTGTTAGATTGTTAAATACGCCAGGCGGTAGTGTCAAATGCCTTTAATCCCAACACTTGGGAGGCAGAGGCAGACGGCTCTCCGAGTTCCAGACCAGCCTGGCCTACAGAGCCAGTTCCAGGACAGCCTCCAAAGCCACAGAGAAACCCTGTCTTAAAAAAACAAAAACAAAGGCTGAGAGATGGCTCAGAGATTAAGAGCACCGACTGTTCTTCCGGAGGTCCTGAGTTCAATTCCCGGCAACCACATGGTGGCTCACAACCACCTTGAATGAAATCCGGTGCCCTCTGCTGGCATGCAGGCAGAAGACTGTATACACAATAAATAAATAAGTTATAAAAACAAAACAAAAAAGATTGTTAAATATTTATTTTAAAACCTTTGTAAATTGGGACTGAAGAGATGGCTTGGTGGTTACGAACACTTGCTGCTCTTCATAGGGCCCTGGTTTGATTCCTAGCACCCACGCAGTAGTTCACAGTTATTTCTGTTATCTTTCCAATGTGTGTGTTAGCTTACTTACTTTGTATTTATGTTTAGTTTTTTTGGAAAAAGGCCTCATTCTCTCCTGAGTTACAGGTTACATGTATATGTACCAGGCCTGGCTGATTTTATTTTATATTTTAGGTTTCCTGTTACCCCAGTGATATTTGGTCAGAGCATGGTCTGAGAAGTGCCCTTGATATGGTGAATGTGTCTTACTGGATGCGTTAAGACCACTTCCACCAGCATATTGTGTTATCTAAATGCATGAAATACATGACAGAGTGGAGAGAATTATGCAGTGATTGCTCATGTGTCTCCACACAATCTCCACTTGGCATGATGTTCTATTTGCTTCATGTTATCGACTTGTATACGCTTTTTAGCCTGGCTTAAAAAGTGCATTTTTGATTGGGGATCTAGCTGAGACCCCAACACTCTCCAAGGCTGTGTTCCATGCATAGTACTTACTGCATGCACACACATATATGTGGATGTTTATTTTCTGTTCAGCCTTCCTCCTCCTCCTCCTCCTCCTTTCCCCCTCCCCTGCCTCCTCCTCCTTCTGTGGGCTCTGTCTTGATGCTGTTTCAGCTCTCCATACCCCCTCTATGCCTGTTCCCCTATTGGAGGAACTCTGGCAGTTAGGTGGTTGTCCCCATGGTAACTGTATTGTTCTTACTCATCTCTGCCCTTTCTGAGGAACCTTCAGGTGCACAGGATAGGAAGGTGCTGAAGATTTTGCGGTCACCACTTTGACACAGCCATGTGCCTTGGCACTCTTTGCTGACAGTGGTGGAAGCATTCTGGGTCTGCGCTACCCTTTCCAGTCAATAGGCATTATTCATATGTGGGACTCTTGAGCTCTGGAAATGAAGCTGCTAAAACCAGGAACAGATCTTTTGGTTTAGCTAATTTACATGTAACCATTTGCATCTAACCTGATATTATTGGCCTATCATCTGTGTGTGCCCTGTCTTCCATAGTTACATTGAAGTAAAGAAGAAGCCTAATAGCCTACCTAGTGCTTGGCCTAGGGAATTAGAGTTCAGCAAGTGTCTTCAAATTGTCCCTTGAATTAGGTTTTTTCTTTTGTTACTGTGGTTTTGTTTTTCAATCTGGTGGGTTTAAATGCCTTCAGGATATACTTTTTAGTAGTTACTAAGACAGTTGAATTATAATAAAAGCCAGTGATTCTGTTTATGTTGTGTATGTTTTTTTACATATGGGACAGTTAGTTATATAGGGTTTGGTCACAAAACATGAAGTGAGGCTGATGCAGAACAGGGCCAAACACAGCTCAGAGAGAGCTGGCTTCCTATTGAATTTTAGTGTCATTATTCTTCATATGAGAAGACCCTATGCTTTTTAAGGAGCAAACAAGAAAAGGGGAGACTTTGGTAGACATTTTTCCTTTCATTGCCACTAGTCGTATTAGACACAGCAGTTCTGAAAGAGGAAAGAAGACACGTGGCTAGAGAGAAGCAGCACATCAGGGGTTAAAGTCGTTCATTTGTCGGTAAAACCAGAAGACAGCACACCAGAGCTGAGAAAGTGACTTTTGGATGTAGTAAATGGTTTAGCAAGGAGTCCATTGATTTAGGTGCTGCCTGTTCATGGTACAGGTTAATGAATGTAATTGGATAGAGGGTCAACAATACAAACTGGCATGATTGTTGGGGGTTTGATTATGAAGTGATTGTGAAACAACTCCTTTTTATTTATACTTCATATTCAGCTAGTCATCCCCCCTCTTGTGACTCTGAAAAAGGAACCTGCACATTACCTGATCTGCATTTTTCTCTTGATTTATTTCTTTCTGTTTTTCTATGCTCTCCTGACCCCTTGTCTTCAAAAGTACATTTCATCTTCCTGGAACACAGTGCCATCTAGTGGACAAACGGGTAGTTCAGTACCGGAGCGGGTGGTAAATTTTAAAAGCAAGTCCCAACTGTTCCTTCCAGTCTGTTCTTGGTCAAGTGTTCTTAGGTTTTTAATAATGATGGCCTGAGTTTATAGCCCAACTTAGCAAATCGCTGGAATTTATGACATTTCTATACACTTAGCTTTTGAACCAAGACAAATCACTTGATTTCCCCCTCCCCCCCTTTCCTCCCATTTTGTGAAATAGAGAAGATGAAATATGATTAGGGAATGGCTTCCTAAATTTAATAAAGTCAAGGAGAAGAAGCAGTCATCATTTTGGGTAAATTTGAGGCGTCTGCTTTTACTGCTGTAGATGAGGTATGAACATGGAGTCTAAAACGAGCCAGACTAAAGTCTCATGCAATAGCCAACTTTATTTAGAGCATCAGATGATTCAGACCCTGAGGCTTAAGAGTCTCGTGAGTGAAATGTTCAATCACAAGGATAAGCTATGTGTGGCAAGCAGTACACAGGGTGGACAGGGTGCAGAGGGCAAAACACGTTTTCCATAAAGACATATGAACACATAAAATTAGCTACTTGTCATGAGTATTCTAAAGTAAACTAACTCCTGTCTTATCTGCTACACTTGGGAAGGGCACAAAAGCACTTTCCAAGAACAATTGCCTATTTTTGAAGAAACTAAGGTCACAAGACTCATCTTATTTGCTTGGAGTTTTCTCACAAACACTCAGAATTCCTCTTGTACAACTCCATTCTGTTTTTATTGTTTTGTTTTTGTTTTTTTGAGACAAGGTTTCTCAGGCTGGTCTTGTACTCACAGAGATTCGCCTGTCTCTGCCTCCTGAGAGTTGGGATTAAAGGCGTGCACCACCAATGCCTGGCCAACTCCATTCTTGAACTGTGTTCTGACAGTTTCTGTCTTAATTAGGCCAGTTGCTTTCTCTAAAATATAGTTATACAGGAGGAACTAATGTGTCTAAGGATAACTTCTGTCCAGCACCCAAAAAGGGCAGTTTTATTACATGCTGCCATTTGCAAAATGGCAGTTTTTCAACAATAAAGGAGTAACAAAGATTTCCATTGAAATAGATTATAATCATGTTTTTTGTGCATAGCTACAAATAGTTTATCCTCATCTATGAATGTGCAGGTCAGTTGGAGCTTGATTATAGTTGGTTCTTTTCTAAACAAATAGAAGAATAAACTACTTTTGTGTTCTTTCAAGTATGTTATTATTGTCTAATGGTATTATTTGTTAATATGGTTCTTTTTATATTTCAGAAAAGATGTTGGTTTAAAGCGATTTTTCCCTAAGAGTTTACTGGATTCTGTCAAGGTAAATTTAGTCTCCTTTATCACAATCGGATATGAAGTTCTGTCTGTATCCCTTTCCTCCTAAAAACTTGCCTTTGTAAAAGAGTAATGGTGCATTTACCCCTTACGTAGTAGAACTGCAATGGCAAAAGCTGATTGTATGAGTCATGTTAACTTTAGGCAAGTAAATTTTCACAGGTTCAGCCTTTCTGCATAGAACCATGGCTTTACTTGATGATTGTCAGTAATAACCACCTAAGTGCAAAACTGGAAATAGTTTGTGCTGCAGCCCTGCAGCCAAGGTTCTTAAAGTCTGGAATGTTTTGATACATGGAAGAAAAGGAATAGTCTTAAAGGATCGTGATGAATCATGAATACTGTATATGCATGCCTTTACATTGTTTTCCCCTGTGTATCACTGCATCCTGTGTCTGTGTGTGCATGCCACATCACTGGGTCCTCCGTGAGAGCGTGCATGTGTGTGTGCGTGCACGCATGCTTGCACACATATCACTGAGTCCTGGGGGGGTGCATACATCACTGATTTCTATGGGATATGAGTGGGCACGCGTTGGGTTTTGTGTGTGTATGTGTCATTTGATCTGGTGTTTGTGTATACTGCTGCTACATTGTCTGTGTCACTGTCTTCTGTATGCACAATTTACATCATTGCACTCTACATGTGCACATTCTAATGGTCAATCTCTGTTTCTGCCATGTGATTTTCTTGATAACTTTGGAAGTAGCTTCCATGTAGTCCTACTCCAGCAGGACTATTTTTGGAGACAGAGAGAGGAGCTCTGAGTTCTGTTTCTCATCTAATCCAGAGCCTACCTCCAAACATCCAGTTATAGTAGGAGAACAGATTTTGGTCCAAGAAGGGTTCCAGAAATTTGCCAGCCTTACAGTGTGGGTCATGACCTCTTATTTCCACAGGGAACAGCATTATGTAGGGGTGACATTAGTGTGTAACACATTAATACATACATATACATATATATATATGTATGTATGTATGTATGTATATATCAACACAATACCTGTCAGGTAGCAATTCATAAATAGTATTATTGCTGTTATTTTTTTATTAATAAAAAAGTTTTTTTTTACATTCTCTTACCTGAGGCCCACACAGGCAAAGACATGCATATGAAATACTGTCATATTATGATTCAGAAAATTGGCCCCACAGCTAAACTGCCACCTAAAAGCCCTGGCTTCAGTGTAGATCACCCATGACTTTGGATAAATGACTGAATATTTCTCAGTTTTAAAATGTGTAACAAAAAAAAACAGCTTCTTACACGTAATGTCTATGTGAAGAGTAAGTTAGTCAACGTGTGCATTCTGAGATGAGCTGTGTTGTGTGTCTGGCATGCACGGAGTGATAGCACCCTGCTACCAAGCCTGATGAGAGACCTAGGGCTGCATCTCTTGGTGTATAACTGAACTCACTGGCACAAGCTGTTTGCCAGGAGAACTGGACTCTGTTCCCTGAATGTGTTCAGTGCAGATAGAGGACAGAACTTTAAATCAAGATTGGCAACTTTATGTAAGGGAGGTGGAAAATGGCCGTTGTGTTCCTTGGGAGTGTTGGTCGTCTCCTAGATTAGGAAGAGCCTCAGTTTATCTGGATTGTTAAGTGTGAAGACCACAAAGGCATGGGGCAGAGGTCCCCCTATCCCAGCTGGAAACAGCCAGGAATAGGAGGACTGTGTTAGGACACTGAAACAGGGAAAGCCATAGCTTACACTTGACATGGCTATCGATTGGAAGATGTTCTAGCCAGCATTCACTTAAGCTGTGTTTCATGTATCAGTGATTCTCAAATGATGAGGCCTTTGGTGGCCTCTGAAAGCTGCTGTCTTTTCAGATTTTTACGTGTCACTGCTGTCTTTAGGAGTCTAAGACACTTTTAGGTTTACAAACAATCATACACTCAAAACAGGGACTTGAGTACATGCCATGGATGAGTACCTCTGCTAGGTGGATGCTAGGCTCAGTAGATCCTGTCAGTGTCTGGGTTCTCTAGCTCTGACCTGCTTCTATATTTTTTGCAGGGATGGAAAAGATCTATCTGAGACCCTATTCTAAGGGGCTTGTTTGTTTTTATGAACTTGTTGTTTTGCAGTTACTGACGTGTTTGTTATTTTTCTTCATATACTATATTTTCATACAATGAGTTTGGCTAGCACCAGATATATAGCTAATTTGATAGCTCTTTTTTAAATGAAAGAATGAAAAATGAACAGAAATTTGAAAAACAAGCTCCCCCCCCAAAAAAACCCCTGGAGAATCCAGAGAGAGAAAGAGGGAGAAAGGGAGGGAGGGAGTGACGGAGGGTGGGAGGGAGGGAGGGAGGATAAGGGCATGAACATAGGGTTAAGAATGACTTTGAGAAGATAATGGGATTGCATGCCATCCCAGGAATACCTGCTCTCGGCTGCCACACTCTGCAGGCCTTTCCCAGCTCCACCTTCCTTGAAAGGCCTCATCTATCAGCATGCTTTTCTCTGGGATCTTGAACTGCATCTGGCAGTGTGGTGAATACACATGGAAATCACAATACAACTTGTGGGATTGGCTGTCTCCTTTTACCATATGAGACCTGGGCATCAAATTCAAGTTGCTGTCAGGCTTGTTGATGTCTTAGAGTTGTTGTGATGAAGCACCATGACCAAAAAGCAACTTGGGAAGGAGAAGGTTTACTTGGCTTATAGATTCTGATGCAGTTCACTGAGGGGAGCCAACGCACCAACTCAAACTGGGCAGGAACCTGGAAACAGGATCTGATGCAGAGGCCATGGAGGATGCTGCTTACTTGCTTGTTCCTCATTGCTTTCTCAGCCTACTCTCTCATAGAATCCAGTCCAGGGTGGTAATACCCAAATGGTCTGGGTTTGCCACATCAGTCATTGATTAAGATCATGCTTTACAGGCTTGCCCAGAGCCTGATCAATTTTAAGTGTGTTTTTCAGTTGAGATTTCCTCCTCTCAGATGACTTAGCTTGTGTCAATTGTACATAAAACTAGTTAACACAGTATGTACCTGTACTAACTGAAACATCTCATGTATATCTTTTATTGAAAAGAGATTTCAACTTGGGGGTGACTATACTGAAACTTATTTAATTTTTAAATTTAAATATTGTTTGATTTCTAAATTAACTTAATCAGAAGAGATTATTGCCTTAGACCAAGCTCTCTCCCCATGCTACATAAATTCCCTTGACAGCTACAACAGACTTCTCTAGATTATGGTGCTGCTGTAAAGCCCTATTACACACCTTCAGAAACACCCCCAAAAAGAAATACACACCTGAGCCTCTGTTTATTCTGAAGTTAGCTATATTGGATGGCTAGATTTATTAATGTTAGTTTTTCCATAAACAAGCTATTTCTGTATTTTTTTTCTCAAAATCATTTTGTTTTACATGTCTTAGATTTAAATTTCTAGAAGATTGTTTGTAGTTACATGGTTGAGAGATTATCATATCCTGGTAGCATTTGACTTAGCTATGGTTGTTGTTAAAATGTCTGGGTTTACCCAGTAACGAGATACAAACCGTGACTCAATGGTCCCACATGGCGTTTTATTGGTAGCAGGAAAGGGGGGTGAGAGATAACCAACCAGTGCAGAGCTGAGAGAGGGGGGGGAGGAAGGGAGGGGGAGAGAGAGTGAGAGAATGGGAGGGAGGGAGGAAGGAAAGCAGGCAGGGGTCAGTCCTTTAAAGGGGTCCTTTGCACCTGCGTGGTTCTCACGGAACTCTGGGCTGGCCAGAGTGCTGTCTGAGTGCATCCTGCAAGGTAACAGGGCAGGCCAGTGTAATGCCTGAACCTTTCATTCCCACCTTTATTTATGATTAAAAAGAGGTGGGGAATGTTAGACATGGCAGGTTAGGGAATAAGGACGTTGAGTTCTTAGGACTGCTTTCTGCTGACCTGGGGTTGTCGACTATCTTTGGGGGAACTTGAGAAAGTTGGGGTGTTGCCATGTTCGGAGTAGCTGTTTTTTCCATTGCAGTCCTGGCTGTGTGGAACTCTCCGGCACGTCTGTAGATCTGGCAAGATGTTAGCAGAGTAGAGGACAAAGCTAGGTTAAAATGTTTTTTTCTTAGGTCCTGGTATTTTTACAGAAGATTGTAAGATGAGGGAGGGGTTCCCAATGGGTCCCAAGGTGAGGGAAGGGAGTCCCAGGACCAGGGAGAGGTTGAACAATATCTGGCCTGTTTGGATGGGTCCAACTTGGCTTCCTAGAACTTATAGGAATCCTTTGAGTTTGTGAAAACATAAGTATTAGACATATCAGCAGCATATTTGTGTTAGAAACGACTTGGCTGAAAGCATTAACATTTTTAAAACTGACAGATATTTTAGTTACGATCGTTTGAGTTAGATTAGTAGCTTATCAAAACTTTATTGATTAATGTTAAGACTGAAAAGTAGTATAATGAAAGAGAAACCTGGAACATACTTTTTTTAAAAATGTCTCAACTTACTTTAGATATACCTTAGAATACCTGTTCTTGAAATCTGTTTTATGATAGAGCTTTGCCTTGTCTGTTACTTTAAGCTGGCAAAGCTACCAGCTGTCAAAAGCATCAGAGTTCTTGAGAAGGATAAGATTTTACCTGAGATTGGAGAATGAGAGACTTAGTAGCTGACTGCATGGACAACCACCCCCAAGGTCCTCCACAGTTGTTGAAGTCAGAGGCTCCAAGGACACCTGCCTTTTGCTGATAGTGAGATCTGAGGATTGGGAACTTTTTAGGACGGCTTTCCTACCGTCAACATGAGCAACATGGAGAAAGTAGTTTACAGTGTCCTCTTGTTCACTGCCTGAAAAGTCCTGTGAAGCAGTTGAGGTGAAGGGCAGGGTTGCTTAGTGGCCAGCGTTGCCACGTTTGTGGGCAGAGTTTCTTCAGTATCCACAGTCTTCTTGGAGGAAATGGGGTGGTGCCAGCAGCTGGCCTGTCTCTCTGTTATAAAAAGCTTTTAAATAAAACATTTAAATGCCATGTT